AAATGTTTTTCATTAAAATTATACATCCTTCAGCCTAAAACAGGAAACATTAGAAACAGAAACTTGCTGTAAGGTTGTAAAAACAACTAAGGCAGTAAAACTTATAATCCAGCCTCAGCCTCCTAGAAGAGGCACCTATGGTTTATATTTGAAAGGGGATTTTCAGAAAGGTTGACCTCTGAACTATCCATTCTCTTATCCACTTATCCAAAATATCTTGGCTGTCACAGAGTAAGCGGGGGGGGTGCATGCTGGGGCCTGTACTTCAGCATATCCAAAGGATCTTTCAGTTATCTTGTTTCAGTTAGTCTAACATCAGCAATCAGGCTAAGCGGTCACATAAAGCGGGTTATCTACTCAATAAGTTAACCAAGGATTTATCAACCTAGCTACGATTGCATTAACACAGAAAGGGCGACACTGACAGCATCTGATCGATTACAAACATATTCAAGTTTGCTAAGGAAGATAAAACTACAACATTAGAAAACTATGAAAAGGTTAAACACATAATACAGACTAAATATAACATTCATATTTAAAAGAAAGAATCTATGATTCTTACTGATGCCAATCAGAGAAAGGCAAAAACTTTGAGACGCTCCATCCAAAGGGATCTTTCAGAAATTTCTGGAGAACTGATTAGTCAGTAAGAGGTGATCGTGTACCTGCTGATCTCTAATCTATAACACAACCAGCTCCAGAGCATGTCAGGTTTTCAAGCGTTGCCCCACTGGTAAGAAGTGAACCACCTCCTTAATTCTGAAAACTCAGGGTTCACCGTTGAGGTGCATGGATACAGCGAATTCCTGCTGTGTAGAACCAGGCGTCTGGACAGGTCGCCAGTTCATCACAGGGTGGACGCACAGAGACAGACACCCACTCCACACTCACACCTACTTTTCCTGACGTGCACGTCTTTGGACTTTGGGCCCCAAGCAAACACACAGAAAGGCCCCAGGTGGCTGATGGATTCGAACCCAGGCCCTAATTCACACAGTGCTGTGTTTAACACAATAAAAACACAATGAAATGCGTTATTACCTCCACGTAAGACCTGGTCCATGCACTGGTGAGCTTGTTTACATCTACGTCTCCTGTCGTGAGTCTTTGCAGGGCCAGCTCTGCCTCTCTGTCATAATCCAGAATCGTCTCCTTCTCAACGAAACCGGAAAGTGAGTTTTTCAGTTCTAGAGCAACAAAGGACACACAAAGCAGATGTTTAAAAAAAGAAAGTCTTTCAGGTCTGTGCAAGCAAAGTGGAAAGTGCAACTGTGTAGCTTTGTGCAAGAAATGTAACAAGCTCCTGTAATCGAATGCTTTAGTGCAGCTTCTAGCTGTCTTATGTTACAGTCAGGGCCGTGGTTATACTCAGGGAAGGGGAAAGAATAACAATCTCACCACTTTCTAAGAAGCAGGGCATTTTGTGCAGCAGCATCAGGCGTCCGTGGAGGTCACTGATGTTCTCCTGCACAGGAAACTGCAGGGGCACTTTAAGGACACAGTTGTGTTTACCTGCCCTGAACTCGAACACAAACTCCTTCTCAGTATTGCTGCTTGCCTTGGCTTTGTTCTTCTTCATGGTCACAGCTGGAAAAAACAAAAACAAAACAAGATAGCAGAAAGCCATGAATGAATTCAAGCATCTGGTGCTGCGCCACTTTTACACTGTCGCATCAAATCTGTGACACAACCGATGTTTGCGCACAAAAACACGGTATTCACAAGCTACAACAAAGGCCGTAAATATTTGTGACTTAATCCCTGCTAAATAGCTGCTCAGTTTGTTAACGTGAATCTCAACGTTGGCTAGCAGCGCGGCTAACAACTTAAAGTACCACATATCTAAAAAATAAATAAATAAATAAACAGAATAAAAATAACAAAACACAAATCTGCCAAGACGGCCACAGTATTATTTTTTTTCAATATCATGTGATGAACATGAAACCTTTTAAAACTCAAAATTACCTGCGTCTGGATGAATGTAATAACGGTATTTCCTGTAGCCTTCCTGTTTATCGTTGAGCTCGCAGTCAGCTGACTGTGACAGCAGAAGCAGATTCGCGGCGCAGAAGCTCGGGGTTATTTTTATATTTTTTTATATTTCAACTCTGGGTCACTACTGCTAACACATTTGTATGTAGCTCTGATAAAATTAAATTTTTGTATATTTTTTAGTGTTGGACTTTTTAAAAACGCTATTACCGTCACGAATCTGCTGACTTGAAAGATTTGACTTATTGGGATTTTTTCCCTTGGGCACTAGCTCCCCCTGCTGGTTTAAAATAGTGTCGGCTGGATGGCGTGGTTATATATCAGCTGCCAAAAAGAATCTATTATTTCTCTTAACAATGATTCCAAGAAGAATAATTATTTATATAATATTCAGTATATTAATATTTATTGAGCTATTCAGAGGTGGACTGACTGGTGTGTTTCAGATCATTGTTCCCCTGCGAATTCCAACTGCGCTTGAGCTTCATAACATGAACCGATGGGCAAACAGTTTTCCTCAGTATTTTCTGTTAGGGAGAGAATTTATTGTTCCATCACTTACAGCAAGTAATTCCGGTCCCGAAGCAGCAAACAGCCTCAGACCAACAGACTACCACCACCACGCTTAATGGGTGGTATGATGATCTCTTTTATGATCCAAACTTTCCAAAAAGTTCAACTTTTGTCTCATCAGTCCTTTTTTCTCTCCAAATGTTGTGAGATGACTCTTGTTTTACTTTTGATCAGCAACGGGTGGTCACCGATTAACTTAACTAGGGCCTGCATTTCAACACTATTCCAAGTTTTCTCCATTTGTAGATAATGACTCTCATTAGCCAAGGGAATTAGAGAATGATTTTTTTTAGTCATTTTATTTTATTTTATTTTATTGTATATACAGAGGGACGTGTAAGTTTGCATAGCTTTTTTTTTTACACCTTAATAAAATATTAATCATTCAAACACTGATTTTGTTGAATTTACTACTAAGAAATCAGGAAGGGATTTAAAAAAAATTCACACGACTATAAACGTCAGCCTGGACTTTGTGTAAGATGCTTGTCTAAGTTCGTGGTAAACAAAAACATTCAAATGAACAATCTGCAGTGTACAAAACCAGCATGCCGACAAAAAAGGAGAAGTACACCACGCCTTTCCCTAATGTTTTCAACCACATGATCTTTTTTAGCAGATAAACATTTGAATTTGGTCAGCTGCCATGAAGAGTCAAATGATAAATACTAGAATATGAATCACTGATACGTGTACAAGCGCGTTTAATATATAAAAAACACAAGATTGTACATTTAATATGCAGACTAAAAATATGTCGAATGAATCCAGTGAGCGCTGTGTGCAGTCTGTGGCGCAACTTATACTATTTATTTATATAACATATATGAAGATATTTGTGTGTGTGTAGTTTTAAAGGACTTCTTAATTCTAAATACTCTATACTCTACTATCCCGTGCGCACGCAAGCTAGCGTAGGCGTGTACGTGCTTTGACGCGTGCGCGTGTTTTCTTCAAGTTTGAGTCAGTAAGGGTGCGTCTGAAACTAGCACTACTACATTAATCCGGAAAAACTCAGTGTTGTAGCTGTAAACGAAAATAACAGCGAAAAGAATTTGCAAAATAACCTTTAATTACGAACAATAGAACGGCGCACTAGAAACAATATAATAACTTTACAAGTCTTGGCGCTGTCGCTTTATTCCACGCTCTTTGACGATGGAGTTTTCGCAGACACTCCCTTGAATGATTGAACCGTCCCGTCATACCTCGCGTGGCCAACGGCTCTCCGCCGACTGTTCGCTCATTGAATTACCGTGTTCAGCCTGTTCGGCTTGATTTGCGGCAATAAATTGGAGAAACGCGGGTTACACCAGCACATTTGAACGCCGTCGCGCTATCCCGGCCTTCTGCTTATCTGACTGGGCGTGCTTTCCTGGGCTCGCTGGCTGGATTTGGTCGGGGAGGCAGGGGGAAGTACGGAGCTGGTCCCGAGTGATGATGGAGCTGGAGTCGGCCAGTAACAGAGGCGACCTGGTAGCTGTGGGAGACTCGCTGCAGCCGCAGACCCCGAGCAGGCACGAAAAGAGCCTGGGGCTGCTCACGACCAAGTTTGTGACTTTACTACAGGAGGCGAAGGACGGGGTGCTGGACCTAAAAGCTGTGAGCATGCAACCCGGGGTCTTTGTTGTTAGCTAGCACATGTCATTTGGAGCCTGCCCGCTGTCGTTACACTTTCGCTAGCTTGTTAGCCTAGCCTAGCTATGACAGGCTAATTCGAACGGTTTTCTTTCGTGGCACTGCAGTTTCAATATACCCGGGTTACTTTCAAACGCAACTTAAATGTTGATCTCAAGTTTTTAGCTAGAGAACTGAGCAAAGACAACAAGTGAACTTTGAGAACACCGGTCAACTTTTCAGACTCTGCCCCCTGCAGATTCAAAGTTTAAAAAGTGGGTCAGCTTTTGTCGCTTTCTTTTGACTCGACCCTGCTGCATCTTCACACATGAACAAATTTTCTCTGATTGATAACGTCTTTGTCACTTAACGACATGCATTCACTGTGTTAATTTCCCCGCAGCTACTCGGAGAGCATGTGTCCTAAAGGACAGTGCATTCAGTCACCATCCTTGTTATAAGCGCTTCTGATATTACATAATGAGCTGCTTTTAGATTAACTTGAAGTAACTGGGTACTTGATAATTGTGCTCTTCTATACTTATAAATAGAACTACAGTCTGAAAAGTCAAATATTGTGCTATTTATACTATTTGGCTTCAAAGTCGTAAAGTTTAAAACGTGTTTTTAAAGTGAAAACCAGACTTTACCGAACTTCTCAGCTTGTGTTATAAATAGAAGTCTTTCACCAAACTGCCATTCATGTTTTCTTCAACAAACCAGTGAACCAGAAGGCAGCCTGACCAGCCAAGCATTACTTGGACTGTATCACAGTGGCTGCTGGGTCTTAGCAGATAGATTGGCTTCATAGCTTTTGACACTCGTAGCTGCACTGTGCAATGCTGATAAAGTGCCAACCCCCCCTTTCCCCTCCCTGTCTCCTCAACTTTAATGTTCACCAGTTTATTAGAATAGAATAAAATAGTCCTTTTATTGTCATTGTACATTTACAACAAAATTATGTATATATTAGTAAAGACATCAGGAATAAATGGCAAACAGAAGAGATGTATACAGTCTATATAAAACAATAGAAAGGCACACAATGGAGAGCAAAGTGCTTGGAGGTAGTGCAAAAATGCTATGATAATAAAAACAAATTTACTGAGTCATTCTGTAGTTATACTCTGTAACTTTCACACAATATTTTCATTTTTCCAGGGATCCTGTTATTGAGATATGGAGCCATTACGAAAAAAACTGACAGAAATTAATTTGGTGCCAAAAAACAATTTTCTCCCCTGATTTTTAGGCTGAAAATAAATAAATAAAATAATTGAAAGGCCATTTGCGTGCTGCAGGGTGAAGCATTTTATGTTGGGAATGTATATGAATTTATGTTATGAGAATTTTCAAATAGAGCTGTCATTAAGGAGCTTCCACGAGTCCACTTTAGCCACAGGCCCTGATGATAACGCGTGGGCTTACAGTATCAGCACTTGCCATATGGTTAATGTTAGCATGTTCCACATCAGATGATTTGGGCTAGAAAGGAAGGAAGTTAAAATTATGCCACCATTTTTGGTGTGACTTTAACAGTTTTTTGTTGCAGGGCACCTGTTGGCCTAGATACCACAGACGACACATAAATGCTGTCGTCTGTATTTGAAATGAATTTTTCTTGTCTTTCAGGCGGCAGACACCTTGGCTGTGCGTCAGAAACGGCGTATCTATGACATCACTAACGTGCTGGAAGGTATTGGACTGATAGAGAAGAAGTCCAAGAATAGTATTCAATGGAAGTAAGTCCACATTTCATTTTGTTCTTCAAGTGATATACAGGGCTTTCATGACAGAAGGATGATGTGCTTAGGTAATGATGGTATAAGCTATTTGAAACCATGTTTTGCAAGAACTTGCATCACTCCCAAACCTTCCACTCTGCACACGAGGCATGTGCTACAGATGCAGAGAGAGGCGGGGCAGTAGGTGAGAACCTGAGGACTGTGGTGCCTGTTGGTGTTATTCTTTGCATGTTTGCGTTTCATGGAAGACGCTCTCATGGCTTTAGCTTAGTGGTAACAGCACAGAAATGACTAATGAACTGAAAAGTGCACATTCACGCTTTCAGTTTGCATAACTCATGAGGACTGAGACCATATGCACTATAAATGCCACCGGCTGAATAATAGAAAGACCCCGTCTACCGTAGCTGCAACTTCTAGGATAGCCCACATATGTAAGCTGATAATATACATCAACATTTCATTTTACTCAGGAGAGAAAAGAATATCAAAGCTTTAATTACCCATAAGTAAACTTTCTGAAATTTTCAAATCTTTCAGGTTCGGGCAAATGAATGTGAATCTGAGAGTCCAGGCTCTAATAAAAAACAGATGATCAGTGGCCGAGAGTTTTGTGTGTGCATGAAGGCGTCTTTATCTCCTCTCTGTACATAAACATGCTATTACCGTTGTGTTTTAGGGGTGTTGGTCCAGGGTGCAACACCAGAGAGATAGCCGATAAGCTGATTGATCTGAAGGCGGAGCTCGATGACCTGGCCCTCCGGGAACACGAGCTGGACCAGCAGAGAGTCTGGGTCCAGCAAAGCATCAAGAACGTGACAGATGACTCCAACAACAGCCCATATCCTTCACTGCACAGTCTGTGGGTTCTAGTCTGTCCTGTGGTCAGGGTTGCTTTAACACGATGGCTTTATTGCTCTTGAAGCTGCTTGTTAGATTGTACATTCATTTTGTGTTTTCTGGTATTTCATTAGAGCAGTGTCAGATCTAGTGCACACCTGTGTGAGAGAACGAGTGGGTACTGCAAGGCAGGTTTATTTTTATAGCACAATTCAACAACAAGGTGCTTTACAGAGACATTGAAAACAAAAACAATAAAAAGCAGGATTTAAAATTGATTAAAAAACAGTAAAATGTAGGTTTTGAAATTTAAGCTTAAA